ATACCAGCACTGGCAGCACAGAACCATCCGCAATGACCACAGCCATATTGACCGCTGGTGCTAAAGAATTATCCATAATTCCCAGCACGTACATGCTCACAACAACAGCGTCATCTGTTACGCAGCTGCCGGAAGTCGCCGATGAGCAGCAGATGACTAGCGTTACAGCAGAATATGCTTCCACTGTACTACCGGAAACAGCAACGGACAGCGTCTTTTTGCCGACTGCTACGACGTTAACGGCCGTGCCAAACTCAAATTACACAGACTCTACTCTGAGTTCTTCCTCAAGACGACGCTATGTCACTCCGGCTTGGCAAGAGTCCGACGGTTCTCGCAGCAAAATTGGTAGGTTGATTGCGCTCCACAAATAAAATGGCTCTGCTTGTACAATCTACATACTGCAGACTTATCAATTTGCGTTAGGTTATGTTTCTCACAGTATAACAAAAAGTGTCTTAAATACTACTTAAAACGATTCACATACAGTGATAATTAATTAAAATGATTCGTTTACTTAATTACCTATTGAGAAAAAAACCTCACTTAATCCTTGCAATGCACTGTTTGCAGCGTCTCATATCTAAGTCGATGGGAAATCGGAATCCGTACAAGCGCTTGGATGCTTTATCATGGCTGTTTAACAAAGCGACGATATCACTTATTATTACGAGCAGCCGCAGCTGGTAATGCTTATTATGGTCGTTTGACGCAGATGTTTGCGTCCAATGGACGCGAACTGTGAAACGGACATGATATGTTAATTTTGAATTTGTGATGCCGCTTTGGAATCGTTAGATGGTGTTTGAACCTTACAAACGGGCGATTCAAAGCCACTGCAGTCACTTCAGTGTAACCGCAGCTGTGTAAGAGGACATCCTGTTTTTTGTAATACTAACGAAGTAGAATTGAAACGATCTTCGCAGTTTTTTACGCGACCATCGCGTCGCGCGCCGCGTTAAAATTACCCATAGATAAACTACAGCAAATGATCTACCGCGTTACCTAGGGTAGTCGGCTAATTTTGTTATAAAGTACCACTGAGCCAACTTAAGCTATGTGAAGCGTTCTTTATTCGTACTGTCGTCATATTATAAACTATCCGGATTCGGCAGTTCTTTGCTTCACACTGTTCAAAGGAAGCTCGTATCAAAGATTTATCAAATGATCAATAAACTTCATTTATTAGTTACTCGTATTAATAGTCGGAACTGTTGCAGAACATATTTTGTATTCCATTGCCGCAATGGAATTGGATGTTCTTGGTACCATTGGAAACAGAAAATTATTCTACATACTGGGTTTTCTTGGTTTTGCGATAGAATCTTTCGAACTCCAGCGCTCAGTGGTTTTATCGGTAAGAACAATTAGTTCTATGTTTAAAAATTCACATCCTTTTAGCTTTTCATTCAAAGTTGTTTTCAAATAAACCCAGTATGTAAAATAATTTTATGTTTCAACTGAAAACATCAAACCTGAAGATGTTCCATTTACTGCTTGGATGGGATTTTTTAAAGGCAAACGCAACATAAAAATTTTTCTAACATTTGTGTTTTTAGCGCTGCTTTTGAAAATCTATCTGTTAAAAAGCGCGATTTTTGAGCTTTCTAATGAGCCTATACACTTCTAAAACGGACCAAAGCAAGGCACAGAAAAAATTTTCAAAGTAGCCATAAATATTGGCATGTTTCAAACAAGTATATCCCGTTAACCACATGTTTTGGGAAACGATCCAAAACGATGAAGTGGACAAAATTTATGGTTGAAGTTTGCTGGAACCGGCGCACAGTTCATCCATCCGGGCGGTTTAAAAAGATTTTTTTTACAACAAAACAAGCTTAGGCATTTGGCGTGGTACACGGTTGAGAACTTTTTGCACGATGGAAGTTAAACGCTGTTAAACGCTAACGCAACCTGTTATAGTAGTTTGTCTGCACGTTTTGCATAACATGAGACGGAACCACCCGCGATCTGCCGTATCCAATAGTGTCGTAAGTTGTAAATCTAATTTGCATTCCGGCCGACCATTATTATTAATCTCGCGATCTGCTCGAGCGCGGTATAAACCAGCTTTGTTGTCCGGTGCAATCACCGTATCAAACAAGCGCTTTTTGCAAAATAATGATAAATATGCCCTATTGCTAAAATTCAGTTGTTACTCCGCATACAATCGCTCTTTTATAACCGGATCGCGATGGTAGTTCTGCAGTGAGATAACATCCCGGTATATCAGCCGAATCCCACATTGATCGGCATTTCTGGTAGTGCTTACAGTGTACGGCTACATATTATGATCGGGCTATCTGCTATCGCTTACAGTTGGCGGCGTTCCTGGATGCCCAGTAGCAAATTTTGATTTCGTTATTACTATCTGGAAATATACGCAACACCATGGCCCTTATGGGAAGCATCTTGGCCAGTTAGTGTTTTATTTTGGCTTTCCCTCTGGCAGTGATTCTGTTAATAATTTTATCATTATCTGGAATTGTGTCTGTTAAGATAAATATGGATAAAGTTATCAGATACTGAATCACACCCGGCCGGCCATAAGAGCAAGCTTGCAAAAAATGATACGCGGCGCGTATGGATCCCTTAAGGGAGGTGACTGGGTACATGGATGATGGAACCAATTTCGTGTACACACACAGAAACTTTTACTTTCGCGCATTCCCAAACACTTTTTTTGCTTTGTTTTACGACATTCTGCTGCCAGATGAATTGTACACATAGGAGTGAAAACCGTTAAATTGTGCGCGCAACATCCGGTTTGGGAAATATTGAGCTTGCAAGTTGCAGTTATGGTCGGGCTGGCACCGACCATCTGACGCGGTGGCGGATGGTCGGTCCAAGCGCGACCAAAACTGGTGCGACCACGTGATTGGATCAGCCAAATAATGACCACACTACGCCGACCGTTTATTGTCCGCGCTTTAATACCGTCTGGTCGGATCATATAATTTATTTTTAATACCTATCGCAGCCCGAACTTCGAAGCGGGCGCAACTGGCCGCAGCCAAATTGCGCCTATGCCAACCTTCGGACCTCGCTACAGCCCTGCCTTCCAAGACCGTTTGGTGGACGGTAATGACGGATTGAATTATATCATCATTATCCATTCTGTCAGTAACATCCACCAACGGCCAAGGAAGTCATCCTGGACTTCCGCATGGCTGTCAACGAATTCCTGGATTTCTTCCAGCTTACTCCCAATTGGATTTCAACCGTATTGGGAATAAGGGGGAATAATCCAGGAGGAAGCCAATTGGCTTCCTTTTCGTTTCCCTCCAAAACGGTTATTCGGACTCCCCATTGCTGGCTCATCACTTTCAAGCCTATGATTAATTTTGTTCATGCATGCGGTAGACCGACCCAATCAATCTCAGGGAGAGGGCACTTCGCAAATAAATCCGATGATAACCTCCATGCAGTCCTCCAGCACAGTAGCACCGCTGGGTCAGCTGACCAATGGAATGACCATGACAAATAAGCGAAGAAGGATGCCGAATTCCGCCAAACTGGCGGGCCCCGTCACTGATAGTCAAAAATTCGCTGCCATTTCTTTGTCCGCGGCCCCGGAGCCGGTCATGCCAACAATCACCTTCGCTACACTTACTGCAACAGGTTCACGAAGCCCCGCGATGGCACCTACTGCGACTGCTGCGAGCTAGACAGTAGCACCATGATCTTTCTGAATGGCGATGATCTTTGCAACAACACCCGCAATGAGCACAACGGTATAGCAACCGCTGCTGGCAACCGATTAACCATATAAATAATTATTCTCAGCACGGACGTCTTCAGTTCTGCAACTGCAATGTCCGCATGTGGATGCGCCACACAATTTAAGGAAAATGTCAATGTTCCGGTACATGGTACCAAATTCCGCGAAGTTCGAAATACTTTTCCTATTGTTTTATGGCATTCCGTAGCTACGTAAACGACTTGCATACGTTGGCGTAAAATCCGCAGAGCTCCAGCGATCGTTATTCTTGCTTATGGAGGTACGAAGCACTTCAACTGCAGTTACCGAGCCGCTTTTTTAAAAAAATTATAACCATTATGTCTAACAAAACTGTGTGTATGAAATGAAGGCGGATCTGTGTAGAAAGGTTTTAGCAACAGCAAGATCGGAATTACTGGCTGATCTGCTTAAGCAACTGCGTACGCTGCTTTTATGACCTTTAATTTCCATTCCATCTGATCCTGTTTGCCAAGTCCGCGATGATATTCCGGTATGCGATTATCGCAATGACAGCCAATGCCAATGATTGCGCTCTTGCTCTTTAACCGCAATGGCGCATTCTTTGGCTAGCGGCGGTAGGACGATCATTCGAGACTCAGTAACTCGCCCTCACAGTCAGGTTGAAGAAGAATAAGTCCCTGGTCTTGACAAAAGCATTAGTACCAGTAACGTCGTTCCTGGTCCAATGTTCGTGATTATGTGGCAATACTGCTGCGATGGCAGCGCTCCACTGAGCAAATTTCCTGTTTTTCTGATATTAACAAGAATACCGGTTTCAAGAATACCGAAATCACCTAGCCATGTTATTACACTTCAGTTTCTCTGGTGTTCTTTGACTTTTTTCCTTATAATATTAGCAAAAACATAGGCGATTATAGCGTGCAGGTGTTGGCTGGCCAACAAGCAATTAAAAAGCAGCAGATTTGCATATTCAACTGAATGCCCACATACAGTGATTATGCCCAATGTTAAACTTTGAAGACGCACTCACTGTGTTTTCGTACTGCATGACTCAAATATAAAATATGGATGTCTTCGTTGCAATTGTGAGCTTGCTTTGCTACTTGCCTTTTTGAATATTCTATAAATGTATGTTACATTTCCTTATATATTATATATTTTCATTTTATATGTTTAATTTATATTTGGTTTTGACTTTTCTCGTTTGTATAAACTGACGCGCAGTTGCGGTAATTTGCGGTACTTCAGTGTTAATTGACTGAGGACAACGGAGTAACTTGGCTGAATTTTGGATCTGTCAATAAACCCAACCTTTATTTTCTTAATGCGCTTTATGTTCCTAATGCGTTATATTTCTGCTCTAAAGAAAACCGATACATAACGGCAAAAAAAACATGAACAAACCACCATCAGCACCATCATTATCATGAACGAAGCATCAGCATCAATCTCCATTAATTCTGAGGCGATCACGACGGCTTAGACTTTTTTGCTGGAGCAGCGAAAGGTCAGCACCAGTCGCATCGGTGTATTTAATCCACATTGGGAAATTAACAGGTAATCCTCACGATTAAACAACAGGGTGCAGTTTTTGCTGTTGGAACAGCTACGTACTAATGACTGCAGTTTCGGGTCAGTCGTTCGTTGACTTTCACGTATCATCCCACTATCGTCGATCGCAGCAGACGGCGTTGGCGGAGGCAGGAGGTTGCTGCTCGGCTGGCAGAAGGCGGCAGGAATACGACAGGTCTGTTTTTCTTTATTGTACGAATAGGCTTCCATCAACTGCGCTGTTCCTAATTCCATGAAGGGTTGCTTGTCATCCGGGCATTCCAGCATCACCGGCTCATCGCGTAGAATCTCTACCGTGCGAAATCTATTGTTGGAAAAGGGTTTCACGGTGGTGACGGTGATGACGGTCACATTGTCGCAAATCTGCTCAGTTTTGCAGGTCTCCACAGATTTGCAGATCTGCTCAGATGTGGTCAGGCAAATCTGCACAGAAAACACACATCAAGCACCTGCAATATTATGTTTTTTACTAATTTAACTTTGTGCCTTTTTAAAATTATTCTTTCTTACCGCCGTAGCCAGTAGGATGCAAAGACTGCCGGTTCCCATTTTCACAAAGCTAAGACGATGTCGAAGACTCGAAGGCAACTGCTTCGCGAACTCTTATGACGCCTGTTTGTATCGAGAATCAGATTATATATGTCGGCCAGGAAAGCGTTCTGGTTATAGGTGTTACTTTTCTTGAACAAAGCCGGTTTATATTCCTAATTATTACCTTGTAAGTGACAATTAATAAACCGGTAATAACCAGAATTCCGTATATATTTGCATTCGAATATTTTGGGTGGAATATTTATTCCACTTAAAACTTATCACTTAAAACATTCGGGAATGAACAGCTTTATTGGCATGTATATACGTGAGCAGAGCTTAATATGAGCTGACGGACGCACTATCGGTGAGAAATATCCATCAGCTGGACGGTGCCAAATTCAGTAAACGGCTGACTGCCACTCAGACATTCCAACGTCACAACTCATCTCGGATCAACTCCACCTGGCGGAAACGGTTGTCATCGTTTGTTGGATGAGGGTGTCACGAAGACTTCGGACACACTGTTGTCATCGCTTGTTGGATGAGGGTGTCACGAAGACTTCGGACTTCGCAACCTGTTTATATCCCAAACTGGTATTTTATTATGGACGATTAATTTAAGTGTAATTACGGGTGTCTTGTACGAACATGTCACTTTTATTCTAATTTCGATTTTGTTATGTTAACTGTGAACGTGTGGAATATTTTCCAGTTATAGGTATCTTATTCCTTTCGGTGGCCGAGCATGTTCCGAAGCTTTTCTTGAACGAAACCTGTGTATATCCCAAACTAGTATTTTATTATGGACGATTAATTCAAGTGTAATTACGGGGTGTCTGGTACGAACATGTCACTTTTATTCTAATTTCGATTTTGTTAAGTTAACCTGTGAACGTGTGGAATATTTTTTAGTTATAGGTTTCTTATTCCTTTCGGTGGCCGAGCATGTTCCGAAGTTACGTTGAGACCTTGTAGTCGAGCTTGGATTGACCAATGTCCCAACACCTCGCCGGCGTTTCTCAAAACATAAGCGCTAAATACATATCATAATATCAAAAAGTGTCGTGTAATAAGTTATTAAGCTATTCCAATGCGAGTTCAGACAGACCTGCCAGAACTCGCACTGGAATAGCTTAACTTAATAACGACATAAACGGGTCACTGAAGGTTCTAGAACCTTCAATGAATCCGTTCATGTCTAACTCGTAACACATTTTGAATTTTTAATACGTTAAATTATTTCTTAGAAAGTTGTTAGATTTGATGAAAAGTTTAATTTCCGGCTTGGCAATCATTCTCCATCCTCCCATTTTGAAATATATTACAACGACGTCAACGAGTATTACAGGCAAACACACGGTAATATGCCACCCTATTGGCTGACAACAAAGCTGTGAAAGTGCTTCCGCTGTTTTAAGCACAAGACGGAAACATAGCTATTAGCTACTATCACGTTATTAAAACGACCGTTAATCGAAGTAGAAATCAAATGTGCCGATAATAACTGAACCTTGCCCAATTCAGATTTTCTTATCGGAGCATCGAAAGGTCACCACCAGCCGTAGTAGCATCTCTGATCCGCATTTTCCTCCTTTCTGACTCCGATCCTGGCTGTCGAACGACAGGGTGCATGCAGGTTTTGTTATTGGTGCAGCTCATGAATAATGACTCTATTTTGGTTGGCTCAGTCTGAACTCTGTCCTGGACATCATAGTCGAGATCCGGCGCAACCCGCGTAGGCAACAGGTTAGAGCAGAGGGCCACACTAATCCGGCATTTCTGCTTTGCTTCGTCGTAGGAGTATGCTTCCAGCATTTGGGCTATTCCGAATTCCATAAACGGCTGACTATCAGTCCGGCATTGTATGGTCGCCGGTTCATCTTGAAGAATCTCTACCGCGCGGAATCTGTCGGGAAATGATTTTACGGTGGCGCAGGATATTTGATCGCCCAGCAGGCACAACTGAAAAACAAATAATTAAAAAAAAATAAAGCAAAATCAAAACATCTTTTTTGCACGGATTTACTAGTGCTAAAACCGTAGATTCTTACCAGCAGAATGTAAAGACCATTGGTGCTCATTTTAGACAGCTTTGGCCAACAAGCTGAAGTAAACTATTGCGCCCAAGTATTGTGTGTTTATAAGAAATCTGAGCATGCGTTTGTAAATGGAGATTTGAGCCGAAACCAGTTTGAATTGCTACATATGTCACGCGTAACCGTCAATTTACCGATAATTACCGAGTTTGGGTATGCAATTTACATGCGAATTTTTTAATAGGCTGCTCTGAAGTTTCTATCGCATAAGCAGGTCCTTTATATTTTGGAATTTATCATCGCTGCCAGCTCCGCGGTTACTACATGTACGTCTGCAATTATTGACATTGATTTTTTTTTACATTCTAATTTTCGCGGCGCACGCATACGCTTGCATTAGCTTTTTAAGATTATCATTTTTTTATTGAACCAAGATTTATATTATGTATTAAATGTGGTGCATGATTTGCATCTACAAACTGCTATTTGACACTCGCCCTCGTCCATGTGCCTGAGAGACACATTTAATTCATGGAACGTTAAGCTGGCTGTTGACTTCTTCCTACTTAACCTGAATTCCTCAGGAAATTTGTTTGCTTTTCACTTATTGAAACAGTCAGTAAAAATAAGTAAACTGAAAACTTAGAAACTACGAACTGCAACCGCTTCCCGTTGGTGAACAAATGGCAGCCTCCCAGTGTGGCAGCGGGATTAGGCTCTGCTGCGAATTTTTTTGCGATGTCCTCACTTCTTTGCATGAAAACATTTTGCATGAATATCAGACCGTTCTGCACCAGATTGGGACGAACCCATGGGCTGCGCTTGCGCGGCACACAAGAAAACTCCGTGAATTAAACCATAGACGAGTGCGAGCGTTAATTATGAAAATTACTGTAATGTTATTTAACATTTGTTTCATGGTCACCTTGAGATTTCAGTACTCCCGGCACCGGCATCTGTGAGTAGTGCCCAGAGCAGACATGACACAGTTTAACCCAGAGATACCGAATTTTATGGCGCTAGCGGTGTTTCTGAAATACTTTTTAGTTTGTCCTGACCAACGTTTAACGTACATCAGTACAGATCGCTTCCGTGATATGCCTGCAACGCTCCAGTAAACGCGTTTCTACTTCTGTTGCGCTGCACCTGGTGAACAAAATATGAAAAATCGAGGTACAGATGGTAATATTACTATACGCAGGATTTGTAAGAAAATGAAAATCTATAATTGTATAACTGTAATCTCGTACGCTGAAATAATTGCGTTATATTAAAATTATCACCAAATGCACAGCAGTAAACAAACTGTACGGAAAGCGCGCTTATTCAGTGCCTGTGTATAACGTAGCATAAAAGTCAATGATTCTGAGACAATAATTATATAGATATCATACGGTGCACGGTGCACCAATTTTTAAACATTAATTTTTAACGATTTTTAAAGTTAATGCACAAAATAATTAATTAATTAATTGATTTTAATGCACAGCTTGCTACTATCAATGATAAGATGACAGGACTGCAGCACTATTAACAACCACCATAATATCTTTAAACAGTTACGAGAATTCGGATTGCATATTGATATTACAGTAAAGATACTCATAAATTCGTCTGAGATGAAATCAGACCGTTTAGACTTTCTGTTTTTGGTCGGAGCAGCGAAAGGTCACCATCAGCCGCATTGGCGTCGAAATGCCACACAGTGAATTTTGCAGCTGATCCTCGCGATCGAACGACAGGGTGAAGGTGCGGTTGTTGGAATAGCTGCGGAATAAGGTCTGCAGCTTGTTCTTGGGCATTTCCGCTGTACTTCACGAATCATCGTTGATGATGGGGGGCGGCGGCGGCCAGAGCCCGATGCCGGGCTGGCAGAAGGCGGGCTGAATACGGCAGATCTGTTGGGTTTTGTCGTACGTGTAGGCCTCCATCAGCTGGACGGTGCCGAATTCAATAAACGGCTGACGATCACTCGGGCATTCCAACGTCAGCGCCTCATCGCGGACCAACTCCACCGTGCGGAATCGGTTGTCGGATAAGGGTTTCACGGTGGCGCCGGACACGCTGTCGCCAATCAGGCAGATCTGTTTAGAAAGTTATCACGCACAGTCAGTGTGTTTTTTATGGACTGTGCAAGTCTGCGTTAGTGTACAAGCCAGACTACAAATTGAGCATAAAATAAAAAAAATACAAAATCCCGGCTCATGCACACTGTAGTGTAGTGGCGCTGGAAAGTGCGCTGATTCCTTTACTCTGTACTGTATGTGCTCAGTTTGTAGTCTGGCTTCTACAATCATTGTTGCTTACCGCAGTAATTAGCAGGATGTTTAGGCTAGTAGTCCGCATTTTTGTATGGTCTGAAAAAAACAGCTGGACGAATATGGTTCTGCAGAAGCGTACTATCTGCCGGTATGTAAAGAACTACAACTTTATTATAATGCCATGCTCGACCATTACAAATGCAACATTTTGGCGAACGAAACTGGTTTTTGTATCGCTAATTGATATCTTATAAATGATAATTATAATAAACCGGTAAAAGGTTGTAATTATGGGGTATATGGTATAAATATAACATTGATATTTAGGTATTCCAGTTCTGATTTTTACTGAGTGAAATGTGAATGCAGCTTGCAAGAGTAAAAGATTTTGTCAGACAAGAGTCCTTGTTCTTTCAGCAGAATGCAGATTTATACCCGTACGACAATTGCGCATAACACCATAAAGTCGGCGGGTTAAGTCGCATAATAAGTTAATAAATCGATAGCTATCACTTTATCAATGACCAACATGTACAGTGTCCATACATCCGGATTAACAGCAACTGTATTTTTACAACAACGACGAATCCCAATCCTAATTAAAAAAAAAACTTTATCCACAATATGTCAACATTTTTTTGCCGCTAGGTTTTAGCGATAGATTTTTTAGCAATTATTCGTTTTAGTCCCAACATGACTAATGTTTTTATTTACGTTTTTCGCATGTCGACAGTCGACAGACAAAAATTGTTTATTGTCGCTTTTCCGGTGTACTAACGTCTAACACCATCTTTATATGATAATTATTATCCACGTACCCAGTGTCACCACCCACCAACTTTCCAATGTTAACAATAATAAACAGGCCAGAAGCATCCTTGTGATACCGGCTCAAACGCGAAAATAAATATTCAATAACATAGAAAATAGAATAAAACATTAAATTAAACTATTAAAGCAACAAATAAAAGAAATCAAAATGATTAAAAATCTAACCTGGCAAATAAAACCTATAATAAAATGGAAATCTGCAGTAAAACTGTGAAACGGTAAAATCGAAGACAACTCCGCACTACGACTGGGATTTCTTGATGGCTTCCTGGAGCAGTTGGTTGCCTTCCTCCAGCGCCTGCAAATAAAAATAACTGGATGCGTTTCTCCGTAACTGTCAATCTCCATAGATGCGGCAATTTTGAAACAAGCACAAAAGCCGTTAATCGGCGTGCTGTACTTAGTAGTTAGTACGAGTACTCGTAAGTCGTTCTAATAGAAGAAAATCAGGATTTTTAACTGTCACTAACTTCAAACTCGAAAACTGAGTCAATCATAAAAAATTATAATAAATGTTTATAATAATAATAATTACAATATTTATTTAAAGTTACAATAATTAGAGAACTTCAAATAATTACAAATTTTTATATAATTAAAGCACCGCGCCGCCATAAAAATGCATAATTTCCACCCGAATGACATTACGAAATTTCGTACAGACCTTGCGATCTTCGGCCGTTTCGGGCTTGTACTGCTGCAGCCGGGTCAGGTAGACCACGGCGTGCTGGTAATTGTGGATTTTCATATGCGCCTTGCCCAGCATCAGCAGGTTCATGCTGTAGAAATTCGGCTGGACTAGTGCGGAAAAAAGGAAGACAATTAACTGCCAATAATTTCTGAATTTTTGGCAGTGCAAATGCGCAGCGTGTAAGAAAACAGCCGGCATTACTAACCTTGTTCCGCGTGTTCGAAGCATTTGATAGCCTGCAAAATTTTGTTACAAAGGTAAGAAGAATGTTGACGATATGTGTGTAAATTACAGTAAGTCGGAAAAAGAAACTCAAAGACACTGAAGAAAGCAAAAGAATCTGCAGACCGGCTACGTGAATGTAAGAGAAATTCGGTAATTAATATTTAAATGATTTAGAAAGAAATGTACATCGAAATCTGGTGCGTACGATAATAATACGAGTACGAAGCGAAACATATAGATATTTGGCAAAATTATGTGGGGGAAAAAGTCCGCAAAAATATACATGAACAGCCAAAAAATAAACAAGCAAAATTTTTATTTTCCAAAAAACAAACACAATTTCGCTTGGCAAGCTGCAGGAAGAATACGAACATGCAGTGAAAAGATTCAGCAAAAACTTATAAATAACCAAAACCCGAACGGGTAAAAATACAACACAACCCGGCAAAGTTGAGCAGTTTTTAATTTCTACCGACCGATTAATAAAATGCTGATACGACTATCAATATTATTCTGTATTTTTATTTTATGAAAGTGTACCTCTTCGTATGTCGATGTGGGGGGTGTCGCGAAGAACGCGGCCGCGGCCTGCCGCGTGTACCAGGCCAAATCCGCGAAACTATAATGCCTGCAAAACAATTACTTAAAAAAAATCATCAGAAGTTCATGTTCATAAAACTGCGATGAATAATGACAGTTTTCCCTTTCACTGGGTTAATTCTTACCAGTATCCCAGACAATGATGACTGGTGGGATCCGATGGGTTCAGGGCAATGGCTTTCTGGAATTGTCAAGACATTTCAGCAGTCTCAAATGAAATTTCTCAGCATACGGCCATTGCAGTACACATTTATTACAAAAATAAATAATGTAATATGCGCATCCAATAAATGTAATAATAATACTTCAATAAATGTATTTTATATATAAAATATTAAATATGAATATTAAACTGAACAATCACAAGGGTACCTCGAAATGCTCTTTCACTTCCGGTGAGCGCTGCAAGCGGAATTTCGTCCCTTTAAACTTGCCAATTTCATCCAGAAGGATCGCGTACCACTGGAATACTAAGAACACTACGAATACTAAGAATTCGTGAAATGGCAGAAACTGTTAAAATAAAAATTACGAAACTCTGATAACTATAGTGATTTTCCCAAAGCAGAAAATAGCTATGATGATCCGTTAAAGAAAAAGTTTCCCGAAATTACCAGAAGCAGAACAGTTGTCCGAATACAGGACGGTAATACACAATTCAAACAACTTTTAGCAATGTCTGTATGACTGTATCACAGCACTCATAATCAATAATAATAAATAGTTTGCAAATAATTCTAAGTAATCAATAGATTCTTACAATTAAAAAAAACAAACAAATAAAAGCAGCCGAATAAAAATTAATTGTAAAAAATTTTAGTTATTAAATGTACTGAATTGTCAATTTGTCATTTGCGTTTACTGCATTTTATTTTTTATCTCCGCAGATTCACGCCGATCACTAAATAACAATAAACAATTTTAAAAATTGATAAAAAAATAAATGAAAAATCAAAATAAATATCAATTGCATATAAAAAAATAAGTTGACTTCATTAAGTGGAAGCAATACTGAATTTATTATGCTGCAAAACATGGACGTACTTTATGGCACGCGAAGTTTCCTCCACCAGCTGCCACGGCGCGTTTCGATGCATCGAACGCGGCGTACATAAGAGATTTCTTCTCCTCCTTGACAGTGGCAGCCTGGGATTTCTCGTACAGTACCCGCGCCAAGCGCCACTGAATATCCGCGTCATCCGTATCGCGAAACTGCTCCAGAAGCATATATAGCTCCTCGATGTTGTGCTTGTCGTACAGCGTGTCAGCGATCTTGCAGACATCTTTTAGATTCGCTGCAGGACCTATTGGAGACAATCAAACAATTTCCGAATAAAAATACAGTCGCTGCACTGCACGCAAGTGAACGATAAATCATAAAATCGCAGACCCACCAAGATCAGCATACAGCGCCAATGGAAGGGGGGTACCAGAATCTGGTTTAGCAGACTGATTAACGGCGCAATACGCCAGTTTGACAGCGGGAATGAAGGAGAAGACTACGATGCTGCCATACTGGGGACAAGGTCCTGCCTAATAAATGCAAACTCAAATATAACGACGGGATGACAAGGACTAGTTGCAATGACGCAGCTCACAGTCAGCCTTCTCCGTGTTTGCTGGATGGTCGGATTGCATAGATCATGCACACGAGTGTAGCGCAGTGCACGCCATAAATGTCGGAGACTGCTGCTGTTGGATAGGGGCATAGTCACTCAAGGATTGTTAATAATGTCAAATACAAATAAAGTGGCAATCTTGTATTAGCAAACTCAGCCCTTCTGAAAGATTACGTACAATAAAACAAGAATGGATAAGTACTTAAATGCTGTACTATGGCGAGCGGCTGGGGTAAAAAGGCAGTTACTTTCATTTTGATCGTTCTGTTCGAGACTTCACTTTCCTTTCTTGATTTCCTTTCTTTTTTCACTTTTTTCACTTTCTTCACTTGCTTCACTCTGCTTCACTTCCTTCACTTCCTTCACTTCCTTCACTTCCTTCACTTCCTTCACTTCCCTCACTTCCCTCACTTCCTTCACTTACTTCGCTTAAGTACTTCATTACCTTCATTACTGTAAAATGTCAAACCGCTTTGCGAATTTTTAAAAAAAATTTATATAGAAGCAGTATACAGTATGCGCGTACCTACGTACAAATCGGCTTTAATTTCAAACTGCTGCACTGCTTAGTGCTTACTGAGAGTCGGAGACATTCCGGTAATCGTGTTCAATCCTTAATTGCTTAAAAATTCTGGACAGTTGAAAACAAGGCATAATATGACAATTTATTAATAATCTTTTGTGAACTTGTTTTAAACACTAACTATTTCCCCAAAGACTAAAGAGATCAATGCACTTGGCAATTACGTACTTTGGAAGACGCCTTTTAACATACAGGACTGCTCTTGTTTGAGGTCACCACGAACGCGCAGAATTCGTTTGTTAGCCAGTAAAGAATACCTTGTAGTCACCTAATAGTTTCGAAAAAGTTTGCACTAAAACATCTGTTGCTGGATTTTTTATGGATGTCGTTTTAAAATCTTTAACAAACACCGCTACACCCTTCCACTGAGCACCGCTTAAGTCGATACTGGCACATCAAAAGACCATTATTTTAATAATTCTATATCCGCAAGAAAACGTTACTATACACCTGAAAAGTAAGAAAACGAAAACGACATATTTTATAATTTATTTCCAAAAATGCCCGAACTTGCCCAACCAGGGCTTTAAGTACCTACATACCCGGTACATGCTGCTGCTGGTACTTTACCAAATAATATCTATACAGTATTCTGTCCACTACCCAGTAGCAAAACTATTTATTAACATGAAAGATACAAAAATAATGAAGCAAGTGAAGTAAATGAAGTACACCCCGTTCACGCCAAGTTGGCGGTGCCCATTTAAAAAATTCCCTGAGCCATTAGTCAACAAATTTAACTTTTTTTAACTTTAAAGTGATTACTGAATCTATCCAACACCATTTGCAATTGAGGTTTCTAAGATTTGAGCTATTTGTGAATTACAGGAATTTTAAAACTAGAGCAGGCCACTTCAAAAATGCGCTGCAGTTGAGCTATCGCGGTTTCGTCTCTCCCACATAAAATTCGTTTTAAATTCCCGTTTATACCGTAGTCCATGGACGCTAAATCTGCCGACTTGGCCGTGCATCGGCCCTTCGGGGTGCACTTTGCACCATTAACTTGAAGCCCTTCCTGGGGCAGGGCACCGGTATAACGGTGGGCGTGGCCGAACTGTAGGACGATTTCCTCCGCGAGGTCACCATGCAGCCGTGGGAAGTCCTCCTTGAACGTGCAACATAAAATACGATTCGCAAGGAGTTGGGCGTTAACATTTTCACTACCATTCTGAGCATAAGCGCGCGACCCTCCTTTGGAACACTTTTCAGTGAACACCATCCCTTTTTTCAAAAAGCGCTTTGTTTTGGCGAAAAAACGATTTTGCTCCCTAGGCGGCTTGCAGGTTTGGTCTAGCCGTTAACGTTTAGTTTTTTTTTCCTGAAGCACTCTCTTGGGGGTCCTGAAACTGACCTCAATTCCAAGCGCCTAAAGTCGTTCCTGCATTTCTGGCAGAATTAAATTGTGTTTTTGAACTGCCATGACTTGTTTCATCGGTGCCTTCAATTCGGAAGGCGTTTCTCGCGGCACCACAACCACAAATCCATTACGCTTTTGTTCAATAAATGCGCAAAAGAAAACTACGCTATAACCTTTAAAAAGACTGGCAAAACATGCGCTGCACGATTCGGCAGAAAATTAAAATGGCACACCGCCAACTTGGCGTGAACGGGGTGTAAGTGAAGGAAGTGATGGAAGTGATGGAAGTGAAGGAAGTGAAGGAAGCAAAAGCGACTAACAAGAATCAAACAATTTTTCTTACAGAACCCAAAAGCAACTGACACTTCAAGGTTTATCCGCCAGCCTTTTATATCCTCACGACTACAGCGATTGTAAAGTGTTGCATTGTGATTTGCCAGAAATTGGTCTTAAACTCCGCCTTTTTATTAAAGCAGTAGTTTCTATTGGTCAGGTTTTTTTCAACATAGGACTGTTGCGATTGGTTGAAAAATCGGTAGTTTAGCTCCGCCTTTTTTTTCCCTGCAAACCTTGTTAAAAGGTGTAAAAGGCAGAGACTTGGGAAACTTCGTCCTTATTGATGATTATATATAAACGATGATGGTCAAGCAAAATTTAGTTTTCGGTTTTAGAAACAGGCTTTTATTGAATCAGTTTCTTTGTCATTAAACAACAAAAATGGACATGCGTAATGTGATCCATCGTCTGGAGACCTTTAAAAACACCAACTGGGACAATAGTTTACTTCCACCGACGTACTTAGCCTTAGCCGGAATGTTTTATCGTGGAACCGGGGATGAAGTTCAGTGCGCATATTGTAACGGTATTATGTCCGGATGGGGTAGAATTCGAAGCCCAAGGCGGCATCATCAATTACTGTTTCCAAACTGTCCAATGTCAAAGAAAACACCCGAACCCATTACTGCGGAAGGAGAAGACGTCGTGGAGGTGTGGGCATCAGCGCCAGTTGCTATTCCGGGGACCTACAGCTACGCTGTGCGCTTTCCAGACATGCAGGATTACAAGGCGCGTTTTTCTACATTTGCCGAGTGGCCTGAATCAAAAGCTCAGCATCCCAGGGTCATGGCACAGGCCGGTTGGTTTTATAACGGGAGCGGTGATTGCGTCCAGTGCTTTCACTGTGGACGAGAGCTTGAAAGATGGGTTCCCACCGATGGAGCATGGGAAGAGCACGCCAGAGCGTCGCCCATTTGTCCATTTGTCATAGCACAAAAAGGAGAACAGTTTGTCTACGATGTTCAGACCAAGCAAGCAAAGGAATCAGCGCAGATCTGTGACAAGGTATCTCAAGCGTACGCAGCTAGGAAAAAAGAAAATAACCCGCTGGAGAAAGTGCAATATAAGGTCTGTTTAGACAATGATGTCCAAGTTGTATTCCGACCATGCAATCATCTGGCCTGTTGCAATAACTGTTCAGATAGATTGATACAGTGTCCTGTTTGCAGAACTGTGGTGATTCAAAAAATCCGGGTTTTTTTGTGTTAGTGTACAGTTCCACCTATTATTCGTCAACTGAAAACAAGAGAAAAACAGAAAACCAAAAATCGTAAATACAATATCGATTGAAGTATTGCAGTGCTGTGGCTTCTTTCGGAAAATGCTAAACAACTGTTTCACTTGTTACTTTAAAGCTTAAACAAAAAAAACAAAAATAAAAAAGTGATAAACTCAAAAAAATGAAAAATGTTCTGTTGGTAAACCAAAAAAAAGGGGGGTGAAAAAGGGAGGGGAAAAATTTATGGCGCGACATGTTTGTCACCGCAGCGATCAACAGCGTTCTGGATGTCTCGGCTTAAAGCAGACGGGGATTGTGTGTTGGCATTATCATTATCATTATTATTAGATATTATAAGTATTAGTTATTATCATTATTTAATAATAGTATTTGTGGTCATTTATAGTGAGTCATAATAAATTATTAAGTAAATAACCACACAGTATCTGCATCTGATGTTGCTGTGATTCTGAGTTATTAATGTTCTAATAAATACTTGTTTACGTAGTGTTTATTGTTTGTTAACGGTATGTTTGTTGTTTGTATGGTGACTATTTCAACGCTTCTTTTCTTCTCTTACTTCACTTCCTTCACTTCCTTCACTTCCTTCACTTTGTTCACTTACTTCATTATACATAACGATCCGTACATATCAGCCGCATTTTTTGCATACTTTTATGATTATAATTTATAACTAGTTTTGCGAATGGACAGAATATTATTTCAACAGGTAAAGTACTTACACCAGATACCGGCACTTCAAGGATATAAAGCCCTGTTTCGGCAAGTTCGGGCGCTTTTGGAATAAATTATAAAATATGTCGTTTTCTTTTTCTTACTTTTCCAGTGTAGTAACTTTTTCTTGCGGATATAAAAATGCTAAAACAGTTGCCATTTTATGTGCCAGTAATAGCATCGAGTTAAGCGGGCGGTGCTCGCCATGGTCAGTGGAAGGGGGTAGCGGTCATTTAATAACGATTTTATAACGACATCCATAAAAAATCCAGCAACAGATGTTTTGGTGCAAACTTTTTCAAAGCTAATAACAGACAACAAGGTATTCGTTACGGGCTAACAAAAGAATTCTGCGCTATCAGTTTTCGTATACCTCAAAATAAGAGCAACCTCCCAGAGGCCTACCACCTGTTTGTTAAATGGCACCTTGCAAAGAATGTGATTGCCAAGTGCATTGATCTCTTTGGGGAAATGCTAGTATTTAAAAGAAATTCGGAAGAGATTATTAGTAAATTACGATATTACTTGTTTTCAACTGTCCAGAATTTTGAATCTGTTAACGATTGAACACGATTTAAGATGCCTTACAATTAATAAGCAGTGCAGAATGTTAGAGCCGGCTGGTACATACTAGTTACTACGTAGGTACGCGAACACTGCCTATTCAAGAAAAAATTCGCAAAGCGGTGTAACAGACAAGCACGAGGAGATCACGAGTGAGCTTTATTGTACCAATAAAGTGGGAACAATGCTGCGTAATAGCAGGAAAGCAAGAACAAAGCACTGATGGCTAAATCTAGCAAGTTGATGCCAGGAAGGTTCTTGAGCGTCTGTTGGCGTGAAAGAAGCAACTGGCGGCAAGCACGTGCTGTGTGCCATCAGCTGTGTGATGATGCGCAGACTGGACTCTATCCAACGCGAGCGTATGAACGCTGAGTCATACTGCGAGAGAGGAACGAGAGAGCAAGACTGTGGCTCAGTGTATGCGCTGCGTATATCCGCTTCAGCGGATGAGTGCAGTGCAGCAGCACACGTACGTACAGCGAGAGAGGCGATAACGGCAAGCAATGGTGCAAGTACGTCCAGTGTGGACCGTACGCACCAGGCGCAGTCGTACGCCTCTGACATGCCTTTGGGCGGGAATCCGAGCTCCTGCGAA